CACCTGAGGGGGCAGGACCCTGAGGGGGGAGGGGGTCTACCGGGGGGGGAAGGGAGCAGTGCGGTAGGGGAAGAGACGGTAGTACGGAACCTACTCGTCAAACGTGACGTCCTGGGAGGACAGAACACGACGCGAGGTGGGGTGGTAAAACCGCCAACCAGGCGCGTCAGGGGGGAAGCCGAGGAAGACGTAAGGAACAGCACGGGAGGACAGCTTGTCCGCAGACAAGTCACGGACGAAAGCTCAAGATCCCCAGACACGAAATGCAGACATCACCAACCTTCCCCGTCCACCGCAGAGTAGGGGAGGTCTCCGGCATGGAGACCTGGGGCTGAAGGTTGATCTGATGCGCCGCGTACTGAACCGCGAACGGCCACAGAAAATGGGGAGCAGCCGCATGGATCATGGACGTACGAGCGACGTCCATGACCATGCCAATGCGGCGCTCAGCAATCCCATTTTGCTGTGGAGAGGCCGGAAGCGTGAACGTCTGGCGGATGCCCTCCGCACGACAGAAGGCTCGCAGAAGGTCAGAGGAAAACTCTCCACCTCTGTCGGAGTGCAGACGCAGAACAGGAAAGTCCGAGCCGAAACGCTCTCTGAGCTGGAGACGAGCAACGCGGATCCAGTCGATCAACACCTCAGTTACCTCACCCTTGCTGCGCAAGGGGAAGACTGTGGTGTAACGCGAGTAGTCGTCAACCACCAGCAGGAAGTAACGCTCGTGACCCTGTCCATGGATGCGGGCTGGGCCCCACACGTCCATGTGAAGAGTCTGCAGCGGAGCCTCTGTCGGGGGAAACTCGGAGGAGTGAGGAGCGGCGCGCTGCCGCCCCTCGACGCAGGGAACGCAGGTAGGGGCAGGCCCCGGGGGAAGGGGAGGGAGGGACCGGGGGAGACCAGAGACAAGGACACGGGAGGCCATGCCTCGGAGACGAGGCAAGGAGGGGTGACCAAGGCGGTGGTGCCAGAGGAGGGTCTGGTGGGACAGGAGCAGACTCAGGACCTGACCGAGACGCTGCAGCAAACACCTGACTCGACGCAGCTACCTGACCAGACGCAGCAACCGGTTGAGACTCTGTGGTCAGTGTGTACAGGCTCGACCCCGGTCGGCGGGTAAACGTGGCCAAGTGGCGGCCCGTCCGAGCACACGTGCAGTGGGTCACTCGCTGACTCGCAGGAGTGAACTGGTCAACCCCGCCATCCTGAAGGTCAGCACCACTCACCAAGTTCGTAGAGAACGAGGGGAGGTAGAGACCGGACAGGGAGCCTGACGGGGCCGCCAGACACGGGAGGACAGTGGAGTAGTGGGCAAGAACAGGACCCCCAGATGGGTCTGCTAGGGAGACCGCAACCGGCCGACTGAGCGGCGTAAGGGTGGTGCGGTCTCGAAAGAAGGAGCGGGAAGCACCCGAGTCGAGGGTGAAGGTGTGCAAAACCTGAGCCGACGCGGTACCTGAGAGAGCAGACGCACTAGTACCTGGAGCAGCAGACTCACGAGCACCTGGAGCAGCAGACTCACTTGCACCTAGAGCAGCAGCCTCAATGCCCGGGTCAAGCGGAACACACACGTAACAGTCACCCTCAGCACTAATAGACACAGCATACATGGCAGCAAGAATAGCATCAAAGTCAAGATCAAAGATAGCTATACCCGACCTGAGCAGATCACCCCTGCGAGGGATCTCAGTGGCGTCAGGGAACTGGGTACGCCAGGCGTCAGTCAGGCGACCGAAGCAGCGCTGGATGGCGTGCAGGCCGCCACACTGCTCTCCAGTGCGGTCGCTGGTGCGCAGGACGTAGGTACAGGGACCAGCACCCCCAGACCCCTGGCGCCCTGCGTACCACTCACGAAGCTGCTGGGGCGACGGGGTCTCACGAGAGCGCTGCTGCTGCTGGGGTCCCCGCTGCACAGTACCGCCTCGACCAGCTCCACCTCCGCCGCTGCCGCCTCCGCTGCCTCCACCCCAACCGCCACCGCCACCGCCGCCTCCGCCTCCACCGCTGCCACCAAAGCCCCCACCTCTGCCACCACCCCCACCCCCACCCCCTCCTCCGCCTCCACCGCCACTACCTCCTCCCCCGCCACCTCCTCCAGCGCCCTTGCCCCGCTTGCCCTTGCCGTTGCGGTGCCTCTCGCTAGGAGCAGACGCAGCGCTGACCGACTCGGTGCCAACAAGGTCGACAGCAGCAGCAGAGGCAACGGAGGGCAAAAGAGGAACGGGGGAGCACCCCTCAAAGAAAGGGGTACGAGGGTCACCACGAGAGGCTCCTACAGTGGTAATACTAGTCTCTGCTGCAAGGAGGCGCTCCTCGAGGAGGTCAACGGTGAGTGTGGTAGGGCAAAGAGAGATGAAGTGGTCCCTGACGGAGCGAAGGGTGTCAGGAAGCCGGGTGACTAAGTAGTAGAGGGTGATGTACATGGGGGGGGGGGTTCTTGGCGCAGAACTCAGCAGGAAGCGCAGCGCGGTAGCGGGTGTCACTAGTGCGGAGGTGCGTAATGAGGTCAGTGACTGTGGCAAAAGCGGCGAGGTCAGGGAACAAGTACGGGAGCATGAGGCGGCTAAGGGCAGCAGTGGCAGGGGAAGAGTAGCGTGCAACGACAGCGTGGTACAGAGTCTTAGCACTCTTGTACTGACTAAAGTGCGTGCGCTCAGTAGACGGTAGATGACTACGCACAGCAAGGCGGGCAGCAGCATCGCGCGTGAGCCACTGCGAGCGAACAGCACTGTCAGCATCAGCAGCAGGGGCAGTAGAGGCACCAGACGTGAGATCGAACAGTGAGAGACCATCCTTGCTATCGCACTGTAGGAAAATCTGCAGATCATCTAGCCAGACATCGAAGTCAACCGCTCGACCCTCAGCATCAAAGGTAAGAACACTGGGACTAGCCATGACAGGAGCAGCAGCAGGCTAGCAGCAGTAGCAGTGCAACTTGGCTAAGCGACGCGGCTAGGCAGGGCAGCGCGGCTCGGCAGGGCGGCTCGGCAGGGCGGCTCGGCTCGGCGGCGCGGCTCGGCAGGGCGGCTCGGCAGAGCGGTGCGGCTTGGCAGCGCGGCTCGGCCCGGCGATGCTCTTACCAGGGGCGAGGCCGGGGCAGGGCCGAGGGAGGGCCGGGGCAGGGCTGCGACAGTTCCGGGGCAGGGCCGGGGCCGGGCCGCAAACGATCCGGGGCCGGGCCGGGGCAGGGCTGCGACAGGTCCGGGGCAGGGCCGGGGCAGGGTCGGAGCAGGGCCGGGACAGGGCCTGGGCGAGGCCGCGGCAGGTCCGGGACAGAGCCGCGACAGGGTCGGGGCAGGGTCGGGGAAGGGCCGGGGCAGGTCCGGGACAGGGCCGCTACGGGGCCGGGGCAGTGCCGGGGCAGGGCCGGGACAGGGCCGGGGCCGGGGCAGGTCCGGGACGGGGCCGCGACGGGGCCAGGGCAGGGTCAGGGCCGGGCCGCGACAAGCGACGGCGGGAGGGCCAGGGCGGGGCCGCGACGGGGCCGCGACGGGGCCGGGGCAGGGTCAGGGCCGGGTCGCGACAGGGTCGCAATGGGCGACGGGGCAGGGCCGGGGTCGCGCCGCGATGGGGCCGCGACTGGGCCACTTCGGGCGACGGGGAAGGGCCGGGGCGGGGTCGCAACGGGGCCTCTAAGGGGGGCCGCCAACAGGCCGCAAGGGGGCCGCGTAAGGCAGAGAAGGCCACTAGGGGGCCGCAAAGGGGCCGCGTAGGGCAGAGCGCAAAGCGCGCTTCGGGCAGGTAGGTAAAAAAAAAAACTTTTAACGGTGGGCCCTTAGGAAGGAACGGTCCCAGTAGGGAACCCGCTCTATACCATGTGAGTAAATAGGAAATGAATGATGGATTAGGAAAATGGGTTGGGTACAAATATGAAACCCTAGAAAACTGTACCCCATAGTGTCTACCCCACTACAGCCTAGACAGGCTATGTGATTGATGTTTGACACACACGACCACAAAATATTGCTATAACTGGGAGCACAGCCAACCGTACAGCGACAGTTTTGACTGACACAGCCCGAGCTGGAGAAACTCAGGAAGCAGTTATATTATTTGCTCGAGATAAAATTCATCCAACCGAGTTCATCACCGTTCGCCGCACCGATACTGTTCAAATTGAAAAAGGATGAGGGGTTTTGCATGTGCATAGATTACCGAGCACTGAACGGTTTTAGACTCAAGTATCCCATCCCACACTCACGCTCCCGCGGCTTCCGCCGGTATGGCGGACGCGGGAAAGATGCGTTGGGAAGGCCGGTATGGCGGACGCGGGAAAGATGCGCTGGGAAGGCCTGGCTGCGGAATTTGAAGCCGGGCGTCGACGTGGAGAATTCGAATTTGAGGAGTGACGAGGCCAAGGCAACGCTGCGAACGAGAATTTCGCAAAATCCGTGACGTTATGATCTATGGCTATCACGGAGGCGACGGAGGGAGGTGCCACGTAGAGGGCTTGCGGCACGGCTGAGAAGCTCAACGTCTTGGAGTTTTTCGTCGGTGCTGATGCTTATTGTGCGAACGCGGGAGGGCTTTGAAGATCTGTGCTTCGGTCGCCGTCACCTCCGCGCGGCAGCATTCTGCAACGCTTGTCGCTTCTGCACGTGAGTTTGATGAGGGTTCTGACATTGTGGGCTTATGTAACTGTTAGTGTTACGTGAGGGACGTTGACGCGTAACATTCTTTTAAATGGACCTCACGTGTAATTTTGTGTAATGTTCAGGCCACGCAGGACGTTGTGACACGGTCGAAAGTGGAGATCCAGCAGATGCAGATGCAGCGACTACAGCAGCACCAGCAGCAACAGCAGCAGTAGCAGCAGCAGCAACAACAACGACAACAACACCATCAGCCGTAGCAGGAGGGTATCCCTCCATCGTCTTGCACTCAAATTGCATCCTCCACACCCATTTTTTCCGCATCATCCGTTGATGCCACTACAGCTGCCACCGCCACCACTGCCACGCATACCACCACGACCACAACTGATGCCACTCCTCTCCAGTCTACCCCACTCCTCCGTGGTCCAACCCCGCTCCCCCCCAGGCCACCTCCGCTCCTGCCCTGTCCAATGGCACTCCCCTTCGAAGCATTCGACCGTCGCCGCTGCGCCGAGTCCCCTCTTCGCCCGCCTTCTCCCTCGCTGCACCCGCCGCCACCGCATCCTCGTCGCCCTCCCATCCCTGCGTCTTCCCACCCGCCCCTCCCACCCATCTCACCATCCCGTACCCCTCCCAACGGAGCCTCTCATTCCCGCCCGACCTCTCACCTTTCCCAGCGCTCGCGCTCTCACTCGTTCCTGCATCCGCGCCATCCGCGCAGCGCGGGCTGCTGCCCTACATCGCGAAACTATGTTTTCTCGCTTTCGTATCGGAAACCAGTTGCCAGCGACTGGTTGGGTAAAACCAGTCGTTTCGGTTTGCAAACCATTGGCTTTGGCCAATGGTTTGCGCTTTGGATGCTTCGGGGCCGTATCGTTTGTGTGTTCTCCAGCGCGAGTCCGAGAAGTCGCACCTGATTTCGAGGCATGGGTGGTGAGTTGTAGGTTTGGCACAGATTTGGAAGTAGCTGTGAAGATCTTGGTCAGTCGCAAAGCTCCACGCCTGCACGGTCTGGTTGGTCAAATTTTTGCCTCTGCCATCGATGGTTGATTCCATTATCTTGTATAAAGGTTCCCGAAGTGTAACTTATCGTGTTAGTTGATGTAGATTTATGTAAGTGCAAACATTTAATATGATATCTAAATATTTTGTTGTATTTTTTGCGCATTCAGCTCATGAAAAGCTTTAGCATGACAATATTGTCAGAATATGTTGTATTTGTCTAACCTGCAGTGGGGTACTCAATAGTGAGTACAGCCCAATCTAGGGTTTCCTATATGTACTCAACTGCTTGCTAGTGAAACTCTCCTCTTTCTCATTCCTACTTTCCTTTGGTTTCTTAACAAATATCATAGGATTCTTAACATAAAATGCTGAAATAAGCTGGCGTATGAATTACGTTGGAATTCGGTAAATTTAGTGTTGTAGTGGAATTAGAATCACACATCTGCTACACTTTGTAACGAAATCGTTCATAATTTACGCGAAATTGGTACAGTTTAGGGTACCTTCAGTCTATATACTCCATAACACATAATCGCAAGGGCATTGCCTTTTCGATGCTTGTTGGGAGTATTGTTGAATATGTCAGAGAAATTCACTATACAGATAGGAAACGTTGCACATACGGTTCATCATGGCCGTTTAATCCAATCTGTAAAGTATCGCCCAATCAACCTGCGAGGAGCCTATCTGCAAATACGATCAATCGCGCGTGGGCCCTGGCAAGGACAGATCGTTCAACGGTCGGGTCTGTCCAGGTGCACACAGGGTGGATAAATTTGGAGGTTGCAGGTGGATCAATATTTGTCAGCGCGAAACATTTCAGGTGGGTGTAATACTTCGCTTCTGCTGTTCGCACAACAGAAATTCTGGCGCGTCAGGTTTTTGCGCGCCAGATTTTCTTTTCGCTGGGTAACCAGTTGAAAGTGCGTGCTGCGTCAGCCTGGCACAGCCCTGGTGTAGTTGGGTCAGGTGGTCCCAGCCGAGCTGGGGCTCGGGCTGTGTCAGCTATCGACCGAGCCACGTGTGATCGTGGCTCGGCCCCCAACTGCGCCCAAGGATCAGTCGCCCGACTTCGCAGCAGTCAGAGTGGCTGAGTGCCCAGCCCTTGGTTCGTTGTTTTGCTGACGTGTCCCGTGTGAGGACAAAGTAACCCTCACCCATAACGGGGCCCTGGTTATGGGGCCTCGAGCAAAACCACTTGTCTAGGTGTACGCGTGGTGGATTCTTTGACGCGTGGCAAAAAATCGCCGCGATTGTTTTTGAACCAATAGAAACAAGCCTGCTACCCTCGGTTGACCTGCACCGTTGGAAACCAATCGTATTTCCCTCCATCGCAAAGAACAAAAACGTGTATGCGTTATGAAATGAAAGGTGAAGTGTGGTTGTGCGCGGTCAAACGTGTCTAAACAACTATTTTAAACTTTCTGGTTGGGTGTGTAACACACATGTAGTGGCTGTGGTCTCTGCTGGGAAAACACGTGCTGCTCTTGCTGATGCGTCTGCTGCTGTTGATGCTGATACTCCTGCTGCTGCTGCTGCTGCTGCTGCTGCTGCTGCTGCTGCCATCCCCGTGCCTTGGGATCCTTGCGAGGAGGCAGACCCAGCCCTGACCGCGCACCAGCAACACCAGCAGCACCACCAGCACCAGCAGCAGAAGCAGAAGAAGCAGCGGAAAGCCCTAGAGGAGGAGAAGTACCAGCAGCAGCAGCCCTCAGACTCGACTCATGCCTCTCATACCCACCAGAAGCGCCCGGGCCACCACCAGTGGAGAGCAGCGACAGGTGGTTCGGATCGGACGGCTCTACGAGCAGCGACGAGAGGTCGCCGAATCTGTCCGTTAGATCCATGGATAGGTGCCGATAGGCTGATGCGACCTGCCTGCGCGCCTTGCCAGTGGGCGGCACTGGTACGCCAGAGGCAGTGCTGGCAGCAGCTGCAGTGGCGGCAGCAGCAGCAATGGCGGCAGCAGCACCGGTAGCCCTATTAGCAGCACCGTACGTACGCCTTATAGCGTCCTTGTCGCTGCTGTCAAGCGTCCTGCTCTTCCCAAACTCGGCACCGAATCCCCCACCCCCGCCTGCAGCCTCATTCCAACTCTTGGCAACACCATCACCACCGCTACTGGCACTTAGTGAACTATGCGAACTATGCGAACTATGGGAACTATTTGCCAATAAACTACTCGCTAGTAGACTAATTGGTCTGCTACTGGAAGGGGGTCGCCTGGCGGAGGCGGCGGCGGCGGACCTACCGCTGACATCTAGGGTTCTGCTTCTGTTGTATGTGACATTTAAAGGATTGTCGCTGCTGTACCTGTTCTCAAGCCTGTCGTCCCCGTTGCAACCAGTCCCCCTAGTATTGATCTTTCTATACACTTCGGAACCACTTTCCTTCATCTGCAGATTCTCGCGAGCACTATAGGCACTATGAGCACTATGAGCACTAGAGGCACTATGAGCACTAGTGGCACTATGAGCGCCATAGCCACTATGAGCGCTATCCATGCCGCCGCGCGGAGAGAGGTCCCGGCCGCTTCTGCCGCTGCTGCTCCGCTCGCTTCTGCCCGAAAACCGCGTGTAGACTCGCGCAGCCACCTTGTCTCTGTGATCCAAGCTCCTACACTTGTCAAAAACCATGGCTCCCGGACGACTTCCCGAGATTTCGCTCGGGCTGACATCCCGTGTCTGCTGCTCCCTGCTACTTCCGTAGATCTTGTTACCGCCGTTTCTGCTGCTTCCGAGCACGTCCCTGTCGCCGCTGCTTCGCCAGTTTTCGCAGCTCCAGCTGCGACTGCTGCCGTCGTCACACAGGTGGTCGTTTCGTGCCCTGCTGACGTCCGCGCCCTCGGGATTCCCGAGGATGCGATTCGCACGCGTTGGCATCGCCTTGTGACGTCTATCCGACGCGAAGTCCTCCGCGTTATCCTCGTCGGAGATCGCACCGCCATAATCGTCACGATGATTATTATAACGAGTATAACGGTCATCGTTGTCGTCAACATAGTGCCTACGATGGCGACCGTTGTCACCGTCATCCTCCTCCTCATTGTCAACCTCGTCGTTATCGCCGTCGCCGTCGTTATCGTCGCCATCGGCGACAGAGACCAACGAGTCGGAGGAGCCGTTGTGAAGAAAGCGACCCAACGGGTAACCCTCTTCGACCGCTCGCTGCGGACACGGAGGAAACGAAGCAGTTGGCGTGAGAAGAGGGAGCTTGTAACGAAGCGTCGTAAGCTATCAACGAGAAGCAGGGTTAGGTTGTGCTACGAACAGGGAGCGAAACAGCGGGCAAGGGCACGCGGGGAAAGGCAAGAAAGGGGACGAAGCAAAGAGCCTGATCAATAAGCGAAGATCATAGTGTGTGGTTACCTCGAAACACAAAACGCAGGCTTTCGATGGCTCTCCTCCTTCCTCGATCTGCAGGTAACGGAAATATCGAGAAATAAAAAACAAAATAACAAAAAGCACGTGGTTTTGGATCATAACGACACCGATTCACGAAATGACGGAGGTGGGAGACTTTCGCATGAGTGTTGACGAAACCTGCCGGCGTCGCAGTGTTCACTCGCGACGAGAGACCCGAATCGGGCTGTACGTGGAACGTACCATGGCGGTGATAGGGTTGAGCGGCAGGATGCACTGGGTGCACTCGATACCGTACACGTTCCCGCAGCACCTGCAATGGTGCCTGTGGAGTGGAACCAACGGGGGAAAAGAGAGGAGTTGAGTGGACGGGTTTTCATTCAGGAACGAACGAAACAAGATTTTAACCGTGGCTCGTGCTCGAGTAAAGGCGATACAATCGAGTTGAGAGAATCTCCTGGGGGGGGATGAATCAAGGCAGCGATCACTAATTAGGACCTATCGATCACGATTATCGCCTGCTTACGACCTACTTCCGCTCTTTACGGTTGAACTCGCGGTTGCAAGCAGGGTTGGTGCACTGCTTGATGGCTCCGTTCGGCATCCAATGGCTGCGCGACACGATATCGCCCGGACCCACCGGCGACTCCAACCATCTGTCCGCCGACCCCATCCTGTACGCGATAGCCGTCGCCGTCTTGTATGCTTACTGGGTCACGTCAAGCCGCCTGGTTCTGACCTATCGCCGATATTGACGACATTCTGACTACTTGCGAAGTTCTTGTCTTGTTATGTCTCTTGCATTGCACGCATATACGTACAGCATGCCTGTTCAGTCGAGGCGAGTCCCTAATACGGCGAATAATTAACTGAGAGCGGAGACTCGAGCAGTCGTAGACAGTGACATACTACGGCTCCAAGTGAACGCTTGACTGGCAGAATGAAACCATTCAGGAGATTCCCGCGCAATCTTTCTCTCTTCTATTGGAAAATCAAGGCTACGGGGAACATATCAAAGACTTGAGGCAATGGGCGTATGGGCACCTCAGGTACTGTGGTTTGTGCAACATCGTTTTGTTCCCATTCCTGATTATTGCGCCTCTGCTTTCCGACTCGGAACATGAAGATTGGTGCTTGGGAATTTAGCAGGACAGATGGGAGAGGGGGCGAGCGAATGCATAGGAGGGGGGATAGCGCGCCGCAAATTGCTTTTCATTCGGTATAGTGAGGTGCTTCTTGTTCTGTGACGTTCAATTTAGCTCCAAAGCTGGTTGGGTCCGGTACTTAAGCAGCGAACGTTAAAGCTCGCGTCTCATATTTCTGCCATCCAACCAAGTGTTAAACGGTTGGAATCCGGTAACAGCAGAGTTTTTCGCGAAGCACACCAAAGCAAGGGGTGGTTGGGAAAGTTGGCTGTCGCACACTTCCCCGTGCACACCAAGTGTTTACAACTCCCAAAAATATGAGACTCTGAACTGAACGTTGACAGAACCCAGGACCAAACCTGTCACCCTTGCCTCGGTTTCCCCCCAAACCAACCCACCCTGGTTTGTTTTGGCCTCGATCTTTTGGAGTTCGCTGTGTTTTTTTCGCCCACTCGTCAAATATTTCGACTTTCGTTACCCAATCAAACCCTGGCAAACCCAACCAAGTGTTAAACGGTTGGAAATTAGAGACGCGAGCTTTAAACACCCGCCCACACAGGTCATCCTTTTCCAGGCTGCAATTCTGGTCGATCAGAAGATGGAAAGAATTGGCACTTCACAGTTTACCAACCACCACCACCACCACTACCACTTCATGTGTTCTTCGCATGTTCGCCCACAGTAACCCGAACACTGTTACTGTGCCACGAACTCTGAACGAACATCGTTAATTTGTTGATTACGACTCTCTGGCCTTGCTGTGGGCGGTTGTGGTCAGGGCAGCCAGCTTTTTTTGACTGCATCGAGGGTATCCCTATAGTTATGCCACATTATGACCGAGTATTTCCAGCAAGCAAGTCAGATGTGGTCCTCGTGAGGCACCCAAAACCCTTCGAGGGGGAAGGGTTTCTCATAATATGACTTGGTTCCTGCTGCGACCCCTCATTCCGAGGACGGCCTCGTTCTAACCTGCACTGTATTTTCGAATCCCAACGGTCAGACCTCGGGAAAATATGCCGTTCGTAACCATCATGGGACTCGAAAACATTTTTGGTAAAAAAATAAAGGGTACGGTCACTGCAAAGGGTGTTTTCACGCGACTGATAAAGCGTTTCACGGAATCAGTCACAATCAGCTGGTAAAAAAAAACGCGAATGGTCACAGATGAAACTCCCGCCAAAACAAAATGAAACCCAGAAAGAACCTGGATGCATTTTCGGATGATCAACCCTAAACACGTAACTCGCCAGGTGTTTAGGGTTGATCCGTTCCCAAACCGCATCCGATTCCGATTGGGTTTTAGTTTTTTTACAAGTTCGCAGATTGGTTGGGCGCGAGCGGGAATTTTGTTGAGTTTCAAGTTTTTTTGGCGGGAGTTACATGTGTGACCATTCGCGTGATTTTTTACCTGTTGTTAGTGACTGAATCCGTGACCCCGCTTACCAAACCCGTCAGAAAACCCGATACAGTGACCGTACGCGTTTTTTTTTTACCATTCACGTTATCGAGTTCCAAGTTGGTTACTTGTGGCATATTTTCCCGTCAGACCTCCACCCCCGCTCGCACCTACTCAAATATGAGGCAGTTAGATCCTGATTTATGTCGGCATTCTGTGCAATGTCTCAGGTTTTTACTGGGTCGATTTCAGAGATGCCTGGATTGTCCCAGCTAGCAAAAATTGTGGATCCTCCGGCCGCTGTTTGCTGCTCCTGGGAATGTTGGCGACACAACTGGTTTCAGGCCAGCAGGAGATCAATTTCATTACAAAAAACTTCCGCAAGCGGCTGGGCGGTGGCGAAAGTTGTCGCGCAGGAGTGGTGGTTTTGGATGGAGCCCAGTCGAAGTTGTCGGCAACAGCGAGACGCCTTTGTTGTTGCTCTCATCTTGAGCGAAAAGACTGCCACTCCCAACACTCGAACGGCGACAGTCTGGAGTCTCATGGATCCACGCGGAGCCAGGCTGCCAAGGCCCTCTTGGCCCACACAGAAACAACAGTGGCCCTTTCGGTCAGGGGCCAGGAGTCGGGGGCAATCTTGCGAACGGCTGGGAGACGTGCTCGTTTGGGATTTTACCAGGCAACTTGGAACCCCGATATATGAAGGAATCCATCGAGCAAGATGGAGCTACATGCCTACTAACCTAACCTTTCTGTAAGGCCGTTCCTAATGCACAAACCTCCTTGTAGCAATTCTAAACAAGGGTTCACTTCGTGTGCTTTGCTGTATGTTTGAGCATCATCAAGTTCGTGCACAACCCCATACTTTTATCCACAAACGAAGACACATTCGATTAACCGAACGTCACACAGTTTCCACCAATTTAGTTACACAAAAAATGATT